CTGCCTTATATCCTGGAGGGGGAAGAGCTCACCTTAGGGATGAAGAGCAGAGCCAGGGTGGCGGTGACTGTGCTGTGGGTGTGGAAGAAGAAGAGGAGGAGGGTCCCGTCCGGGTGCAGGGAGGGAACCAGCACAAACCTGAGAGTGTGATGGGAGGGAGCTTCTTACTGTGGGTGGGGGTGGCCTCTTCCCCCTCCCCACTGCCCCTTGTCCCAGCTCCAGCCTGATCTCCATGGAGCTACAGGTGGGGTGAGGAGGGCACGCTTCCTTCTCGCCCTCTCTGGGATGGAGGTCCTGCCTCAAGGAGCCCTCCCATACTCCAGCTCGCCTTCTCTGGCTGCCTACAGTACAGGCCTGTGCCCCACAACCCTATTATGGACACACGGCAGGCATGCTACTGGGACAGCTGCGATGGGAGGTGGGAGAGTCAGGGAGAACTGAGCAAGTGTGGGAGGCACTTCCTCTTCCTGGGTGTGGGGTGAGACGTGGGGCACGAGAAGGGTATCTGTGGGTAGGGAGAGAGCTCCAGGTGGGGGGCCTTCCTCACCTTGCTGAGGCAGAGCCGTGTTGTAGGGATGGCCATGGGAAGGGGTGCCCTCGTCTAGGAGAAGCGAGGAGTAGTGTTGGGTGGGGAGGAGCCGTGAGTAGGGGGGCCCGTCCTCACCTGGCTGCATAGAAGGCAGCAGAGAGCAGCAGCTCGTTGTGCAGGGCGATGCCCATGTAGCGCGGCTCGTGGAAGGCGGAGGGCACCGCCCGCGTGGCGTAGCAGAGGAAGCTGCCCCAGCACAGGAGCAGCATCTCGGCTGTGGGGAAGCGTGAGGGGCCCCCTCAGCAGCCAGCCTACCCCTTTCTCTGTAGGGTTTGCTGGGAGGAATCAGGGCGAGGGGTCAGGGGTCAGGGTACAGGGTACAAGGCCGGAGGGGCTGGGCCAGAGGCCCCGTGGAAATGCAGAGCCGGGCCCAGAGCGAGACTCACCAACAGCCATGGTGTAGTCCCAGCGGTCGTGATGGCAGAGGTAGAAGTGGCGGCCCGTGCGAGTGTGGCCCCGGGTCACCAGGGGCGTGTGCAGCCCGCCTCGCTCCAGGACCCTCACTGTCCACACCGCCAGGAAGCCCAGCACCAGCAGCAGGAGCAGCCCCAGGCGCCGAAGCTGCTGCCCGCTGCTTGGATGGGGGCCCCGCTGGGCCGTTCGAGACAGAAACAGCTGGAGCACTCTACAGGGGTATAGATGGTGGGTGGGCGAGAGGGGAGGGCCTAGGAGAGGGGCCAGGGCTCTGTCCTCTGACCATTGCTTCCCTCCCCTCCACATGTACCTGTTGCCCCATCCCTTCCATGGTTCACTGCCTCCTTACCCCCAGAAAAGTGATGTGGGGGGAGGACAACAGTGCTGGGGGCAGGCCTTGGGGACAGCGAGTGGAGCTGGTAGGGATCTGACTGTGAAGAACTCCATTCCACCAGTGAGCTGGGGTGGCGGGAGTGAGCAGCGTGAGCGCAGGCCTGCTCCGGCCCCTACCTGTAAAGCTTGAGTATAATGGTGCCGTAGACAATGGCAAAACCCAGCAGCCGGACCCAGCGGAGAGCGATGCAGCGGAATACACTGGGCTTGAAGTACAGGATGAAGACCTGTTTGCGGGGAGAGGGGAGCAAAAATGGCTGCTTTCCACTGCACTCCTACTATGTGCCACGCCTCCTAACACCCTTGTCATAGAAGCATCATCATCTCCATTCTGCATGGGAGCAGCTTAAGAATCAGAGAGGTGCCCTGGCCGGTGTGGCTCGGTTGGGCCTTGTCCCATGCACAAAAGGGTTGCTGATTCGATTCCACACGCCCGGGTTGTGGGCTCAATCTCCTGTAGGGGGTGTGCAGGAGGCAGCTGATCTGTTCCCCTCTCACATCGATAGTTCTCTCTCTCTCCCTTTCCCTTCCTCTCTCTCTAAAAAAAGAAATAAATAATAAAAAACCCCCTTTATTTATAAAAAAGAATCAGAGAGGTTAGGTAACTTGTCCTAAGTCACACAGTGGGTCATAGGGTTCTTTTAAGCTTGGACTGTTTGCTTCCAGAGCTCACTAGGCCAGCCTGCCATTTGTTGATCTGAGTAGGGGGATTTGGAGGTCTCTTAACCCCCTCCCCTGACAGGGCAGAGAGGACGTATTCTGGGGTTTGGAGGGTTCCACGTTGGGACTGCGGGGACCCTGGCGGGTGGAGGTCAGCCTCTGGCCACAAACTCACAGGGAAGTAAAGCAGCAGGGATCCAAAAAGGATGGTTTCCAGCAGGACAACTCCAGATGCCCGGATCCTCTGTGAACCCAGGAATGAGAGAGGCGGGGAAGCAGGGAAGTGGGAGGACAGCCCCGATGGGGGTGCGGGAGGTGGGGGGGTCCTCAGACCTGTTTTAGGGGTCACTCAGTGGTCCTGGGCTAAGACTTTACCCCATAACGTCAGCTCCACCCTCCATCCATAGCCGCACTCCTATTCCCACCACAGGCACTCAGCTCCCCTGGCACGAAGCCTGGCTAAGGCCCAGGTTTCAGCCCCCATCAGCCTAGCCCCATTCTCCTCCCCACCCCAGCCGGGGCCTTGCTGCAGACCTGGGCTCAGATCAGAGGCTGCTGAAGCTGGAAGGTACCTCATGCATTCCTCCAAGCTTTGGTTCAGGCTGCTCTCTCGTCTAGAGATCTCCATCCCCGCCCAGTAACCATCTGGCTGAGCTTCCAATGGCACATTCTCCAGAAAGTCTTCCCATGTCAGCGCAGGCAGGACAACTGGGTCCTTTCCTGAGCTGCCACAGAAGCCAACACAAAACTCTGTCCTCAGCCCTGTCTTGCTCCATTCACCTGGGCGCTCCCGAAGGGTCCAGATCACTTCCCCTAGTACCTACACACTATTTCGAATCAAGTCAAGTGCCTTCATTTTACAGGTGAAGAAACAGGTCTAGCCCTAGCCGGTTTGGCTCAGTGGATAGAGCGTCGGCCTGTGGACTGAAAGGTCCCAGGTTCGATTCCAGTCAAGGGCACATGCCCGGGTTTCAGGCTTGATCCCCAGTAGGGGGCGTGCAGGAGGCAGCCAGTCAATGATTCTCTCTCATCATTGATGTTTCCATCTCTCTCTCCCTTTCCCTTCCTCTCTGAAATCAATAAAAATATGTTAAATAAAGAAAAAGAAACAGGTCTAAGTGGTGAGGTCACCCACCTAATGTCACATAGTGTGTTCGATTAAGAATCAAGGCCAGAACCCATTTCTCCCAAATTCTAGTAGCCTCTGGTCTCGTTGGTGCTCGGGACCCGAGATGGGTAGGACGTGTGTGTAGGAGAGAGGTGTGGAGCCTGGCTTACCTTGCTCCGGCGGCAGCGGTAGGAGACCAGCATGCTCAGGAAGACAGTCAACATGCAGCAGGCCTGGCAGGCCAACACTGCTGCCCGCAAGGCCAGGGCCTCCTCTACCAGGCATGGTGTGGCGTCCATGCAGCTGGTGCAGCCCTCAGCACAAGGCTGGCACTGAAGCAGCCTTCCGGAGCTGCCTTGCGGGGACCCAAATTGCCCGGTAGGCGGGGTGGCATTCTCCTCCAACCCTATAAAGAACAAGATGGGCGCAGAGAGAGCGGCACGGCTGGGGCATGCTGAGATCCTAGCCTTCTCTCCCAGTGGTCACCACAGCCCTCGTCCTGCCCTCCTCTGGTGGCTCTGGGGTAGGGTCAGGAGGGGAGGAAGGAGGAAGGACCCCATAACGACATACCCCAGGCGAGGCTTGCCCCGTAGAAGCCAGGTTGGCAGCGGCAGAGGTAGCGGCCAAGGACAAAGCCCTGACTCTCCAGAGGGATGCACTGTGGGAATGACAAAAAAAACAAACAAAAAAACAATAGATATTTGTATGGGGCTTTCCCTCCTGGGAAGAGATGGAGGATCCATCTACCTTCCTACCCATTGCCCCTGGGTCCACACTAGGGCATCTCACCAGAAGCCCTCCTTAGTCCCAGGGAAGCCTTCCCTCTGTGGGAGCCCTACTACACCCCACACCCACGGCCACTCTTCAAGAGACACCCAAGCCAAGAGGATGGGGCTAGAGCACCCTTTTATTCAGACCAGCAGTGACAGGAGCCTCACGGGTCCCATTTCCCAGTGCCCAGCTGGGCGAGTGAGGTGCTGCGGGAGATGGAAGTAGGAAGAACTCTGAGCCCAACCACACCCGTGTGCCTGCATCCTGCTTCAAAGGGTCCCTTCAGCCTCCCTCGTGGGCATGCCAGTGGGTTGAAAAGGCTCCCACAGAGGAGTGGCTTCCTCTGTCAGGGGCCATCTGGCCTTGGCACAGGCCTGCTTTCCCCAGCCCTAATGCCAGGCTAATGCCAGGCTGGTGGGATGCCAAGGCCAGCTCTTTATTCCACCTCCGCCCATTAATAGTTACCCAGCAGGGGACAGAGCAGACCTCAGAGCTAGGTGAGGAAGACAAACCCATGGATGAAACCAGATCTGCTGTAGGGGAAGGCTAGAAACAGCACTAGGCAAAGGAAAGGGTGAACCCTCAGAGATGCTTTTTTTAAAAATTTTTAATATTTTGTGTATATTTTTGTTGATTGAAGGGAGAAGGGTATAGAGATAGAAACATCAATGACGAGAGAGATTCATTGATCAGCTGCCTCCTGCAACCCCCGCCCCCCTACTGGGGATCAAGCCTGCAACCAGGGCATGTGCCCTGACTGGGAACAGAACCGTGACTTCCTGGTTTATGCGTCAATGCTCAACCACTGAGCCACACTGGCCAGGCAAACCCTTGGAAATTCTATATCCAGCTCGACTTCACCAAGAAAGGTTAGAGGGTGCTGCTTCTGAAATCTCGGCCCAGCTTCCCCTCTTGCCTGAACCACTGGAAGGCGTTCTGCTCCTGCCACCGTCTGCACAGCAGACTAAAGCCTGCCCAGAGATGCGACTGTGGCTAGGATTTAAAATGCACCGGACAGTAGGGTCCCTTCTCTGTCCCTGGACTTATAGCTTCAAACACATGTGCCCTGAAGAGCAGCAGATGCTCCAACTGGCCCCAGGGCTGCAGGGCTCGCTTTGGCTTCAGTCCAGCTCAGGAACAAGCACATATCAATGTGACTGTGGGGCAGGTTAGTGCACTGGCCGCCCAGTTCCCCAGTACTGGGCTCGCAGGATGACCAGCCGTTGCTTTCCATTATCCAGATTCTTCAGCATCCATGGCTTCGATTCTGCTGGCATCTGGCTTGGGTTCCATCACCTATACCAGTGGTCGGCAAACCACTCGAGAGCCACATGCGGCTCTTTGGTCCCTTGAGTGTGGCTCTTCCATAAAATACCACATGTGGGCGTGCACATACAGTGCAAAATTGACTTAAAACTTTCAGTAAAGTTTATTAAGTTAATTTTAGGGAACGTTGTGGAGTGAAAGAAGATGTAGTGTCGAGGATTGAGAAAGGTATGTTGAGATGGTTTGGACATCCCCAACTGGCCCCAGGGCTGCAGGGCTCGCCTTGGCTTCAGTCCAGCTCAGGAACAAGCACGTATCAATGTGACTGTGGGGCAGGTTAGTGCACTGGCCGCCCAGTTCCCCAGTACTGGGCTCGCAGGATGACCAGCCGTTGCTTTCCATTATCCAGAGTCTTCTGCATCCATGGCTTCGATTCTGCTGGCATCTGGCCTGGGTTCCATCAGCTATACCATCCCAGAGCTCTTCAAGCTCCTGCTGTGGTTAGGTTCCTCCCACAACTCAACCAGCAACTCCACTTATTTCAACAAACACCAACTGAGCATCCCTTGTGGGTCAGGAGGAGCCTGGAGCGCTGGTGACATGACATGACAATGTGGTCCCCGAGAAGGGGAGGGGATGACTAATAGAGGCTCAGAAGATGGTCCTGGAGAGGGACCCTGGAGCCCCCAGTACCAGAAGGGAAAGCAGACAGGGAGGCTCACTGACATTTCAAAGAAACGAGGGTGGCTGTCTTGGGTAAAGGGTAGGGGTAGGCTGTACATGTCCCCACCTTTTAAAAGCCTGCAAACCTGTTTTTAGCTCATCACTCGGGGCTCCCCTGAAGCCCTGAAAGGCTGGTGTGCCTTTGTCAGCTGCTCCTGGGAGCTGGGTGGTGGCAATGGTGAGAAAGGGAGGAGTCAGGATCCTATGCTGCACCCCCATCCTTACCTGGGTGCTGTTGAGATCACACAGGTGCGTGTTAGAGTACCATCCTGGGCCGCTGGCACACTGATTGATGTCCACCATCTGAAGATCTATGTCCATCTGCACCTGCCCCCTAGGGCAGTGATTGGCAGTTAGAGGCATAGTGAAGGCTGACAAGGTAGACATGTGTCCTTGGGCCCCAAACTATGGCAATGCAAGCTCTGCAAACTAGCACAGCGGTTGCAGTGTGCGGAGAGGGCACACGTGCATCCCATTTCTCCAACGCTAGGAACCCTCACTGTCTCTGTAGGCAACAATCCCTCTCCCCCTAGGTCGTCTCCCGTCCCCATCCCTCAGCTTTTCAACATCCTAGCGTTTCCTGGTTTCTATCAATTGATAGGGGGAGGGGGCATGTCAAGACATTTGGGAGCTGGGACTTTGATGATCTGTTTGAAGGGGATTTTCACACGTTCCCACTGCCTGTACACACACAAACTCACACACTCACACACTCACACACATACACATTTGGAACTCAAGTGTTAACCACCCCTTACTCTGCCCAAATCAGAATTCATCATAGCAAAGGAGATATGGAATGGAGAAGCCCCGAGTTAGAGCTGCCAGGCCCAAGGGCTCGCAACCCCTGCTCTGGGTGAGTTGGGAGAGAGCTAGCAGGGAGCCGAGCTTCCTGGGGGCAGCAGGGAAGCCCTGCTGGGGACAGTGAAGGGGGACACGTCGCTGGAAAAACAATGTTATTGTTGAATGTCTTGAAGTACTGTGCCCACTGGCTGCCTCCTTCCCACCAGGACTCCCAATCACCTCTTTATCCTGGCCGAGGGGGGTCAGTTATTTGAGGGGTGTCACAGACTCCTAGGCCAGGACAGTAGGAGAGTGGAACTTACTTGATATGAGAATATAGCCATTGGGAGTGACCCTGAGGACCTGGCCAACTGCTGAGCAGAAGGGGCAATGGTTTCAAGTATCCCCCCACCCCCACCCCAGCCAAGAACTTTCCTTCTCTTGGGAAACCCTCCTTCCACAGCTATGGATTGCTAGAAAGCAGCGGGTTTAGCTCCCGAAGCGCCCATCTGGCTCCTCCAACATGCCTGGTGCATGGATTATCATTTTCATCCACACCAAGCCCTCTCACGCTCAGACCTGGGGGCCAAGACCTACACCTGGCTATATCCACACATCTTACATCTGTGCACACATATGTGTATCCCTATGTGTCAATACGTTGATTCCTACACAGTGCACAGTATGTACACTCACACCTATATGTGTTCACACAGTTACACATACAGAGTCGACTGCAAATACACACTGCTGAATGCAAATATACATATCTGTGACCCCAGACACACATGTGCATGCCAAATGGCCCATGCACGGCTGGGTGGACTTGGGCCCCCAGCCCCACAGACCCACCAATGCATCGAACCCTGAACAAACCCACTTACCTGACCTCCGGGCTGAGGTCTGGCTTGAGTCCATAGAAGGTGGCCGAGAGAGTGAGAAGCCAGCCTGGACGGAGCCGGCCCTCCTGGCATTCCAGGAAGGGGGGCGACAGCCTGACATGCTGCATGTCCCCCAGATACCCGTCTCCCCGTGGCCACTTGGGGCTTCCGAGGCTCCCTAGGTCATTGGTCAGCACCCGCTTCTGCAGGGCAGGGGTGTCCAGGGCCCCGGGGAAGCTCTCTTCCGGTACCCCATTCCCAGACAAGTCCCGAAGGATGGTCTCCTCCCCCATTCGGGTGGCCTGCAGGGCCAGCTGCAGGTGGCTGGCTCCTGGCGGAGGGTTAAAGGTCAGCAAAGCCCGGTATGCCCTTGGGTCCCCCTCGGCCATGCTGCGGACCAGCGCCTGGTACCACTCCACATCCTCCTCCACGCTGGACTCGCGGATGTCGTTGGCTTGTAGCAGCATGTTGAGGAAATTGGCGGCCTGAGTGAGGGTGCCCGCTGCCCTCCCTAAGATCGGGGGAAGCCCTGGACTGGCTTCTGCCCCTTGGGCTTCGTAGCGCTCACTGCAATTAGCCCCCAACAGCCGTCGAGCATCCCCAGAGTAGAGAAAAGCCAGGGCTGCTTCAGCCCCCTCGGGGGCCACCCACATGGGTACATGTCCTGGCCTGACTTGGGAGGACAGCGGGGGCAGAGAGCCGAGGGGCCGCAGACCCCCCAGAGCCCAGCCACAGAGGAAGCAGCAGCCCAGCAGCCCCCGCACAGGAGGAGGCATGGCCACTTGCCTGGTGCCCATCCTTGGGGCAGCGCTCCGGGAGCCTGGGGTCCAGGCTGCCTGGGGATTTGGTAGCTCAGGAGAGCCCAGGTAGAGAGTGGCTGCAGTCTGGGACTGCCTGCCTCCCCACCTCCTTTCCTCGCTTTCCCCTCCTCCTCTTTCTTTCCACTTGTGCTGATTCGCCTGTTTTCCTTCTTCTAATGTCATCAGCTGGCTTCTGGACTCAGGCATGAGGGCTCTGCCACCTCCTCTCTGTGTGGCCCCCGTCGCAAACCCTCTAATCCTGAGGCACCACTCTTCCCTCCCCCTCTTATCCAGTGTTTGGGCTCCCTGCCCCCCATTCTCCACCCTACATCTGTTCCAGAGAGAGATAGATGGGAGGGGAGAGGGGAGAGGAAGGGACCAGTCATTCTCTCTCTCCCTCCCTCCCTTCCTGCCTCCCTCTGCCCTTTGCTCCATTATGAGAGATGGGAAAATCCGGGATGGATGTCATAGCAACCACAGATGAGCCCGTGCTCCCCTCTCCACCCCTCTCCTCATTCAGCCTCCTGGCAGCAATTGCGATGGGCATGATAAAGGGGCAGGCTGCATCTCCTGGCAATCTGCTTTGGCTGCCTGTACCCCCTGGACAGCGTGCTGCTGAACCGGAATTTGATATTGGGGATGGCGAGGGAGGGAAGCTGAGATTCATATAACTGTGATTGTACAGACTGTGGCAGTTTATAAAGTGTTTTTCATATGCATTACCCCAATTAATCTTCCCCACAACTACGGAAGGTGAATATTCTTTTTAAATATATATTTTTTATTGAGTCAGAGAGGAAGGGAGAGGGAGAGAGAGAGAGAAACATCAATAATGAGAGAGAATCATTGATCAGCTGCCTCCTGCACGCCCCACACTGGGGATCCAGCCAGCAACCCAGGCATGCGCCCTGACCGAGAATCAAACCGTGACCTCCTGGTTCATAGGTTGATGCCCAAACAATGAGCCACGCCAGTTGGGCACCATTCCATGTTCTTGCTGATACCAGTTACCATTATTTATGTCCAAAACACACTGGGTGAAGACATAATAGTAAGTTGTTTTTCCCCCCAAGAAGCTTTTCATAGTAATAACAACTAACATTTGTATCGTGTTTTAGCATGTACATGTAAGTTTCCATTTAATCCCCACAACAGCCCAGTGGAGGGAGATTATTATTGACCTGCTTTTACAAATGAAACACAGGCTCAAAGATGTTTACTTATTTGCTCTTGGTCTTACATCCAGGAAATGGCACGATTAGGAATCAAACGGGATGGCAAGCTCCAGTGGGACAAGGACTGAGCCCCTCGCACTCATCACTGTACCCTGAAGCCTGGCGCATTGCTGAGCGACTGAAGTGAACCTCGGGTCTGGTTTACATGATCTGAATTGCTCTTCACAGACTTTACAAAGTAGGGTTCTACCACTGCGGGGGCCACTTTTATCGCCTTCAGTGAAAGAGGTGTGTGTAGACACAAAATCTGCTCAACAAACATACACCTACCCAACTCACACACAGATATACTTCCTTTGCTGGGATCTACAGGCCTGGACATCCACGGGAATGGAGAAAGGCAGCATTCCTTGCCCTCCTTTACAAAGAGGCTGTGCGCATTCCCGGTGCCTCTGAGTACTCGGGACAGAGTGGAAATACTCCAGGCGGCAGACAAGCTCCCTCTCAGGCCAAAAAAGTAGAGGACAGCAGAGGGCGCTGCGGAGCTACGGACCTTGCATCCTCTGGTAATCGGGTCTGGGGCCAGAGCTTTACAGAAACGGCCAGGGATCTCAGGTGGACTTCTCGGCCTCAGGTGTTCTGTGATCCTATAGCAATTTCTCTTCCTTTCTCCAGAAACCTCAGTGACACTGAGAGGTAGCTGAGGGAGAGGACTTAGAGAATAAAATATTTGGCATCAGACAGGGCTGATTTTGAATACCACTGCAACTTTCGAATTGTGTGATCTTAGGTGAATAACTGAGTTTCCGTTTCTTCATGGGCAAGAAAGCATATTAATTCTGTTGGGCTGAATGAGGTGAATTTGTATCAAGAGCCATAAGGTGTGAGGTTGAACAAACATTCAATACTTATTATCAAGGGCTTACTCTGTGGCCAGAAAGAGTCCTTGGCACTGAGAGTGCACGATGGGCAGATGTGGCCCTGACCTTCATGGAACCGACAGCTTAGTAACGAAGAAAGGCTTCAATCAAACAACTCCGCAGATAGATGACAAATTATATCTGTGCACTTAAGTGCAACAAGGAGTGGTCCTGGACCTCAGGACCTAAGGAGGAAGTGCCCAGGCAGGGAGATTTCCCCGCGGTAGTGAGAAGTTCTATCTGAAGAGTAAGCAAAAAAGAGAGGGAAAAGCCTTCCAAGAAAAGGGAATCGCTTATGCAATGGCCACATGTGTGCAAGCTACAGGGGAGAGAGAACAAGGGGAAGCTTGGTGGGAGGAGCCCGGAGAAAGGCAGGGTCAGGTCACACAGGACCCCAAAAGCCTCCTTAAGGAGTTTTGTCTTTAGCTTGAGAACGATGGGAAATCATGAAGCATTATCATTCCTGGCTATTAGACCAATTTCCATTTTAAAAAGGTCATTCAGGCTGCAGGACTCATAGCAGACCCTCCACCCGCTTCCCTTCAGCGCACCCTGGGGTACCAAAGTTGCTAAATTCTGCTGGCTGCTGCCTCATTATCCCTTGCATCCCTAAACACTTCGCATAGGAAGATTGCAGTGGTTTCCTAAGTGGTCTCCCTGCCACCAGTCTGACCTCCTCTACACAACTAGCTTGATTTTGTTTGATCTTCACAACATGCCTGCCAGTAAGTCAAGCAGCAATCGTTATTCCTGTTTTTTCAGATGAGAAAACTGTGGTGCTATGGAGCTGGCTCATACAGGTGTGTGAGAGCCAACTATAAAAATTTCAGGAGTTCTGCAAGCCAGTTGTTAAACATAGCCAGTGTTAAAATTAAATTATACAAATTTATAATGGAATAAATATTAAAAACAAAGGTAATGAATTCTCAAAACTCATCACTTCCTAATAATCTTACTATTATGAGTTATCCATGTTCTTGGGATTATTTATGTTGTTCCATTTGCATGATGAAACTACTACATAATGGCATGCTGCTGCTCACCTCTTTCTAACTCTGTGTTCAGATTGAAATCAACCATGTCAGGAGTATTTACACCATGGAAATTGGCAAACCATACAAATGTAGTGTTTTGTTGATTATCTAGACTTAAGAAAGTGATGGAGAAAATGTTAATAGTTCAGATTTAAATTTAATGTGTTATGTCTGTGGCCATTTCATTGTGAATAGAACAAAAATTGTGGACATATTCAGTATTTGAAAACAGTTTTCTGATTCAGCAAAGAAGTCACTCCCATAATTGACAGTTAAGACTGTCTTTTTTTTTTTTTTTTACTTTCCTCTTACATTGACATAGAGGAAAATATTAACCAACATTCACTCCTTGGTAACCTGACACCACAGGGCTACCCTTCAAAAGCTTGGCAAAAATCAATGAAAGCATTCTGTGAGAATCAATTGGTTACATGGAACTTGCAATTGTATATTATTACTAGAGGCCGGGTGCACGAATTAGTGCACGGGTGGGGTCCCTCGGCCTGGCCAGCAATTGGGGCCTATCGAGGCTGTCTCGCCCAGTCCCTATCCCGGCCAATCGAAGTGGGAGGATGGGAGGGGGAGGGACTGTGGGAGGTTGGCTGTGGGAGCACTTTGACCATCAGGCGGCAGCTCCTGCATTGAGTGTCTGCCCCCTGGTGGTCAGTGTGCATCATAGCGACCAGTTGTTCGGTCGACTGGTCATAATGGTCCCTTAGGCTTTATATATATATAGACTAGAGCAGCGGTTCTCAATCTGTGAGTGGAGACCCCTTTGGGGATCGAACGACCCTTTCACAGGGGTTGCCTAAGACCATCAGAAAACACATATATAATTACATTTTGTTTTGTGATTAATCACTATGCTTTAATTATGTTCAATTTGTAACAATGAAAATACATCCTGCATATCAGATATTTACATTACGATTCATAACAGTAGCAAAATTACAGTTATGAAGCAGCAACGAAAATAATTTTATGGTTGGGGGTCACCACAACATGAGGAACTGTATTAAAGGGTCGCAGCATTAGGAAGGTTGAGAACCACTGGACTAGAGAACCACTGGACTCGAAGACCGTCGGGTCTAATTAGCATATTACCCTTTTATTATTATAGAATTTTTGTAAATCGTGTGCTACATATCTTTACATCAGTACAATGTATGCTAAACTTACGTATTCTATACATATATCTGCATACATCTCCTTTCCCCCACCAGAGTGCCAGTTCAACATTTATCAGACGCCTCTGAGTCTCAGGACACATTATCCATGTGTCATTACAGAAACATTCACTACATGCCAGGGGTGATACAGTTCGTCAATGAAGAAATGACCCCGCCTGGGTCGGTCACACATCGCGAGCGGCACAGGCGGGACCAGAAACCGAGTGACTCCCAAGGCCGGCAGCTCTCTCCCGGGACCGACCTGGAGCCCCAGGGCTGGACCCCGCTCACCGGCAGCGGTGGCTGCGGCCTGAGCGCCCGGGAAGTGAAAAGCGAGGGTCGGACAGGGACCAACAGCCAAGCGAGAAGCAGCTCCCGGCCAATAGCGGG